AGGGACCGAGTTGAAGTTGGCGCTAAAGATTTTAGACAGTGACAGTTATTTTTGCATTTGACGGACGAGCGCACAGTGCGTTGGAAGATAAATTTAGCGGGACATAAGCGTTTGGTTAGAAATAAGCCAAAAAATGTGTACTGATAAGAATAAATAGTAGACATTCCAATTGATATAAAAATGCATGAATATTCTTTATATTTCGATACATTTTTATCAACCAAATTTGGTCGTTTTCTGCTCAGGAAGGCAGAGATCATACGAAAACAAAATATTTACAAGTGCTTATACATTTGGTATGTACTTTTCTACTGTACGTATATTATTTGCTAAAATCCTTCGTGCCTTTGTTCTGCAGATATTAAACCCTCACTTTTTTTCAAATATCGATATATTGAATGATGTAGATTTTTTGAGTTACCAACAGTTACCAACACAGGTAGTCACAGTCACAGGGAGTTCAAGCTTAACAGGTGAATGTCCAAAAAGTTTCATTTCAATCGAATAGTATAAAAACAAAACAACTCCATCAAAAGGCACTGAGTTTAAAAAATTGTCTTAGATACTTACTAATATATGAATTTACAATTACCGAGTGTTAAAATTAAAATATCATTCTTATTTATTATTTTCAAAGTAAAATAGTATTTTTTAAAATAAAATATACAGGGTGTCACAAGATTACAAATTAATTAAAAAATAACTGCTAAAGAGTTTTTTGTAAGTATTTCACCTGATATCATAATTTTATGTATTTGGCAATAGTTTGCAGTACGGTTTTTGTGTGTCATGTACGAATAATATCATAGTTTTATTATCTTGTATTTATTTATTTATTAATAAATTAAGTTGTTAATAAATAAATATATTTAACCATATGGTTGCTATTAATAATTTAATAAATATATTAGACCATTTGCTACGTTCTTAGATTTTAAATCCCAAACATCGCTCTTGAGATTTTGTCCCGCTAGAATAACCATCCGCTGCACTGTGTAGCGCTGGTCCCTGCGTGACGTAAGCATCCACGGCGACTACGACAGCGGCGATTTGACGCGATCGAACAGTCCTTTAGAATATATACAGTCCTTGGGTGTTTCTACCATTTCTTTACAGAATCTGTATTCGCCTTTGTTTTTTAGCTTCAATCTACTGAGGTGTTCAAATCTAAATACACCGAACTTCAAACTAAATACTCCGAACCAATGGGCACCTACCCCAGTATCCTTCAGGCAGAAATTTACGCTATCGAAAGATGCGTACAATTTATCTTAGATATATAATCTATCGAAAACAGGAAGTTGCCATCCTATCCGATAGTCAAGTAGCACTTAACGCGATCAACTCAGTAACCATCAATTCGAAGTTGGTCAAAGAATGCCTAGAGAAGCTCAACAAATTAGGCAAAGAAAATAAAGTCCTCCTACTCTGGGTGTCTGCTCACCAAGGGATAGAAGGCAATGAAAAAGCAAATGATCTAGCTAGGAAAGGAGCGAACACTCTACTAACTGGACCCGAACCGTTCTGTTTTCCAAACGGGAACCAACTGAAAGCGGAACTGAAGAATCTGGAAGACTCCATCCGTAACTTGGAATGGGTGTCCTCCAACGGTCTAAGACACTCGAAAAAGTTCCTCAGAACTTACGACCGAGAAAAATTAAAGGTTTTCCTTGATTTAAGTAAAAACAATCTTCGGATTGTCACGGGGTTTCTAACGGGACACTGTCTCCTCAACGAACACCTCAGTAGGCTGAAGCTTAGAAACAACGGCGAATGCAGATTCTGTGAGGAAAATGGGGTAACATCGGAATACCTTATCACTGAGTGCGCCGAGACGACGACCATTCGTGCCATGAACTTCGGTACGGCTGATGTCGAGGATGGAGAGCTGGCTTCTGTGGAGCCGTCTCAGATACTGGCTTTTGTTAAAGCCCTGGGACTGTATGATGAGTTATAACTCGTTATAACTCAAGAAAGGGGAACACACAATAGATCTATAAGGTCGCGGTGATTAACTCGCTTCCAAAACATTCTACATTTTACATTCTACATTCTACATTCTACATTCTACATGCTACACTCTACATTCTACACTCTACACTCTACATTCTACACTTTACACTCTACATTCTACCCTCTACATTCTACACTCTACATTCTACATTCTACATTCTATACTCTACACTCTACATTCTATATTCTATCCAAAGATTGTTCTTACTTAAATCAAAGAAAATTTTTGATTTTTCTTCGTGATAAGTTCTAAGAAATTTCTTCGAGTGTCTTGGAGGATTCCCATTCCAGGTTACGGATGGAGTTTTCCAGGTTCTTGAGTTATACTTTCGAAACATCTCAAGGCCGCATTTCTACCCTAGTCGTCTTTCATTACCCTTGGTGGGCTGGCACTCAGAGTAGGAGTACTTTATTTTCTTTGCCTGATTTGTTGTCATTCTTTAACGAACTGAGTTGATGAATATTTCATTTTTGTTCTTTTTATTTTATACACTACACTATGGTTTCTAGAAGCTAATTTTTTGGCCAAAATACATATTTTAGACTCACTGTATATGGACTTTTTTTGTAAGTGGAATGCAAGCAGATATACAAATGAAGAAGACCACATGTATATATTTTTGTTTAGTTTTCATTTTTATTCCTTATCAGCATTTCTATTGAGACGTTCTAGTGAAGTATTTGTGCCTATTCAGTTTTTGTTTATTTTCGGAAGAGTTTTGGTGAATATTAAGTGATATATTTCAGTGGGATATAAAAACGGATTACTGTTATTTTTACACTTTATGGTATGTATTTTTAAGAAATCACTAACAATTGCACATAGGAATCAGCGTCCATTATTTTTTAATTAATTAAAAATAACGGGTTTAAGACAGAACGTAAATAAAAAGTTAAAAGTTTAGTTTGACTTATAAAAAAATCTCCATGTTTCTCCATGCTAGATTTTATTGTAAAATTTGAAACAATCCTTTCTGAACATATCAAAGAAAAAATTGGCTGCTACTAGCTGCAACTTTTTTTAAAAGAATTTTTTTTCAGCTATGTTTCGATTGAAAAAAATAGATCTTTTGGAAAAATGGCTACAAGGGGCCGATAAAGTTGAGAAAAACGGGTATGTTTCAAATTTTGTAAGACAGAAATTTCAGAATAATGAACAAGAACTATCAGGCACAATGGAAAAAAAGATAAATCGCCT